TGGGTTTCCTGAGCTCCAAATCTGAAAAATGAGAAAGAAAACACTGCATAAACATAAACATCTTAACAGGCTTCTAACAAACAGAGAACAGAAACAAACCGCCCTTTTTCCGGTTGTCTGACCTGGTCTTGTGTCCGTTCCCTCCAGGGCTACTATGAGTTCCTCCAGATGGAAGAGGTGGTGGGTTTCCTGGCCCAGCCGGAAATCGAATACATCAAGTCGACCCTCCAGGTTCCCGCCCAGCCGTCGGGCGTCCCGGAGCTGATGTTCCCGGAGGGGCCGGCGGGGGAGGAGGGATCCTCGGACACATACTGGCCGGTGCAGTCCGACCTGGCGGCCCCGGGGCTGGACCTGGGCTGGCCCCTGCCCCAGCACAGCTTCGCCGGGCCCACGGAGGTCACCACCCTGGTCAACCCCACCGACCCGGAGATGCCCAGCATCAAGGAGCAGGCGCGCAGGCTCATCAAGAACGCGCGCCAGGTGAGAGGGACTAGGGCTGTCAAAAGTATGGATACTCGAAAAAGTATCGATACTAAAATGTTGTAAACGGATACGATACTCATTTTCAAAAGTATCGATACCACCGCGCGAGCCCTTTCTCTCTGATTTATTTATGTATTTATTTACGTTGTTTATGATCATTAACAAGACGTTAGCCTTGCTAGATGGGGACTAGGGCTGTCAAAAGTATCGATACTCCAAAAAGTATCGATACTAAAATGTTGTAAACGGATACGATACTCATTTTCAAAAGTAACGATACCCTTCTCTCTGATTTATTTATGTATTTATTTACGTTGTTTATGATCATTACCAAGACGTTAGCCTTGCTAGCTGCGGCTAATGGCTAATAATAACACGCCAACATTAATCAAGTACATATCCAACTCCCCCACATCCAAGTCGGCCATTTTGATTAGGTCACCAATAGGAAAATCCCAGGCAAGAAAATCCTAATTGCTTCATGGCAATATAGACATTAATTTAAAAATAGTTAAATGAATCTTTCAAACACTTGGTTAGTATCGAGACAACCCTAGTGGGGACTAGGGTTGTCTCGATACTAAAATGTTCAGCTCGATACCGATACTCAGGAAAATACTCGATACCATTTTCGATACCACAAGGATACAAACAAAGACCCCAAAATTTAACTGAATTGTGTCTTTCATTTCAAACTGAGGCGGCACGGTGGTGTGGTGGTTAGCACTGTCGCTAACCAGCAAGAGGGTTCTGGGTTGGAGTCCCGGGGGAACCAGGACCTTTCTGGGTGGTTCTGCATGTTCTCCTGTGTCTGTGGGTTCTCTCCGGGTTCTCCGGCTTCCTCCCACAGTCCAAAAACCTGCATGTTAGGTTGATTGGAGATTTGGGAAATTGCCCTTAGGAGTGAATGTGAGTGTGAGTGGTTGTTGGTCCTTGTGTGTCTCTGTGTGGCCCTGTGATGGACTGGCGGACTGTCCAGGGTGTACCCTGCCTCTCGCCCGCTCCAGTTCCCCCCGCGACCCCATGAGGGAATAAGCGGTATTGATAATGGATGGATGGATGGATTTCAAACTGACCTGTTACTGATGTTATCGTGACTGGTGGCCCACATTAATGACCCTAATCCTGACCCTCAAGCCTTCATAATTATGAGAAATAAATATTGTTTGGTTAAACTTGTTTGGACTTATTGTACAAACCGATTTAATATACAATATTTTAACATAATATGTATGGAGATTAATTAAGTGTTTGAAAGATTCATTTAACTATTTTTAAATTAATGTCTATATTGCCATGAAGCAATTATGATTTTCTTGCCTGGGATCTTCCTATTAGTGACCTAATCAAAATGGCCGACTTGGATGTGGGCGAAGTTTGCAGCCAGACGTATTTGATTAATATGAGCGTGTTATTATTAGCCATTAGCCGCAGCTGGCAAGGCTAACGTCTTGTTAATGATCATAAACAACGTAAATAAATACATAAATAAATCAGAGAGAAGGGGCCCGGTGGTATCGATACTTTTGAAAATGAGTAACGTATCCGTATACAACATTTTAGTATCGATACTTTTTTGAGTATCGATACTTTTGACAACCCTAGTGGGGACAGGTAAATCCTGCTCTACCTTCGGGGAAACGCCCCCTAAAAACGAGGCGTTCTTCTGCCTTCCCATCGACAGAAAAACGTTACAAAACGTTGGAGTAAATGTGATTAGGAGCTGCCAGGACTTGTGAGAGCGGAGTTCAAAGAGCTCGGTCGTATTTTTTGTCTGCCTCTAGCACCTTTGTCACCAAAGTCTGAATTCCCGCTGAGTGCCTTTAGCTCTATATAAAGAAAATGATTTATTGGAGTGTAGTTTTTAAATGTGACAAGTAGTCCAACCTGTTCATAAACACCTGGGACTGAACTGTTCTGCAGACCTGCATTCCTGCATCAACTGTTTTAATTACATTTAGTTTTACTGTAGCCGACATTATATGGTTGAAGTACCAGGTTGAAACAAACATGTTTCTTCTCTTTTTTAAGACTCTTCTAACCAAATGGAGTGCAATTTGTAGGATAATTTTATTGTAGATTAATTTTTTAAGACTTTAAAATTACTCTTCTAACCAAAGTGAGTGTATTTTCCTTTGTTTCCTGACACCTTTTTCCTCATTTAGGAAAGAAGCTTTCCCATAAAGAGCAATATATATCAGCATTTAACTTATTATTTTCTGGTGGTGATTAAAAACAACCAAATCTACTTCACCTTAAGCAAAAGTAAAACATTTCTAACCCCTTTTTAGCTCATTGTGAATGATCTATGACTGATCTAGCCATAAAAACTGCCTGAGCCTCCAGGCTCTAACAGGCTCTGTGCTTTTCCAGGTGATCGCTGTGGTCATGGACGTTTTCACAGACGTGGACATCTTCACCGACCTCCTGGAGGCGGCAGCACGCCACGTTCCTGTCTACATCTTACTGGACGAGCAGAACGCTCACCACTTTGCCTCTATGATGATCAACTACAAAGTAAACCCACACTTAAGTCACGTAAGTTGGATTTTCCGGCGTATTTCCTCAGATGAAACTCTTCCCCCTGGGAAACGTTTGACCTGCTTTGTTAGTTATTTGTTGTCGGGTGTTTTTAACGTGGCTGAATGTTTAATTTCTAGATCAGGGATGTCAAAGTTAAACACACCGAGGGCCAAAAAAACAAATTTGCAACAAGCCGAGGGCCGGACTGGTTCAATGCTTATTAAAACATATCGAAACGATTGCATATAGCTTATTGAACTAAGACCTAACACAGTGTATTCACACATATTCACAATGATTAAATGAATATGGAAATATTTTGTTATGGCTCTGTCGGTAACTTCAAGGGAAAACATTTTCAACAGCCAAACAGCAAAAAATTAAATTGTTTTTAAAAACAAAATGTGTTTCTTAATATCAAGATAAATGCATAATTAAAAGTGCATGCATTATAAACTGAAAGTGTATTATTGTGCTGCTCTATGATCTACTGATCACTGCTTTCAAATAGTAAAATTTAAAAAATAAACCAAATCAGTTGTATTCTTTCTCATGGCTCCTATCTGCAATTTTCCATGTGTCAAATCAACTGAAAAATAAATATAAATAAATAAAATACAAACATTTAAAAAAGTCGATCTCTGCTCTGAACGAATGAAGCCGTTTGTGCGCGCTGCCGTGACTTCGCGGGCTACTGTTGCATTGTGGGAAATGTAGTGTTGGTGCGTGCAAAACACCAGCGGGCGGCTGTGGCCGGCGGGCCGGTTCTAATAATAATTAAATATTATCCAGCGGGCCATAGATTATCAATTCGCGGGCCTTGACTTTGACATATGTGTTCTAGATGATGCGAATCCGGACTGTGGCGGGAATAACCTACTACTCTCGGACCGGGGCCTCCTTTAAAGGGCAGGTGAAAGACTGTTTCCTGTTGACGGACTGTAAGGCCGTGCTCAGCGGGAACTACAGGTGAGTCCTGTCAATCAATCAATCAATCACTTTCTTTTGGTAAATTGTCCACATTAAACACAAGAAACAACAAAAGAAAAAATTCAATAGACAAACCCACAGTTTACCAAAAAAGGAATAGGCCGAAGCAAAGTTTATTCTTGCCTACCCTATTTTTTTACCTTACAACCTACCAGGATTTCTTCAAATTCAGGTTCAAGTACATAGTACATATATAGATCTACATAAGAACGTAAGATTTTATCATTTTACATTTTAAAGCTCTTTTAAAGTTCACCAAGAAAGGACATAACTTAAATTCATCATTCAATTCATTCCACAGTTTCACACCAATAACTGAAACACATCTAGACTTTATCTGACTTTTTTCTTTTGCACATTCAAATATAAACAAACCTCGCAAATTATATTTATTTTCTCTTAACTTAAATAATTTCTGAATACCAGAAGGAAGACTTTCATTCAATGCTTTATACATTATTTCCAGTATTTTTGTATAAACAAATATACTTTAAAGGCCACGCCCCTCATTCACAATGCAAATTACCCTGTAACCTAATAAAAACCTGGCTCTGTTGTTCGTCTTTCTAATAGCTTCATGTGGTCCTACGAGAAGATCCACCGCTGCATTGCTCACCTGTTCTTGGGGGAGCTGGTTTCCACCTTCGACGAGGAGTTTCGCATCCTCTTCGCCCAGTCGGAGCCCCTGGTCCTGGACGGCGGCGCGCTGGCCGTCCCGGAGCCCGGCGGGTACCTGAACGCCCCGTTCGGTTTGAAGAGGACGCAGTCTCTGCGAAACCCGGCGGGCTTCCGCAGGCAGCCCGAGGCTCCCTTGGGCTTTCCCTACGGAGACTCCGATCGAAACCAAGCTCTTCCCTTCCGGAGACAGGACCCCTTCCGGGTGGAGCCGAACCCTGGGATCTCCATCGGGAAATACTCCCAGCAGCAGTTCCGGCTGCAGCAGTCGTTCCTGGAGCAGGGAAGGTCCATCGTGTCCCGGCAGATGGAGGTGGGCTCCAGCTCCTACAAGAGGCACAGCTACGCAGAGGGAACCCAGGAAAACTACTCGTCCTCCAGGCAGTACATGAAGCACAGAGTCATGAACAACCTGGAGGAGACGGACTTCCACAGGTGGTTACTCTATAAATCCGTAACTCATTCATTCAGTCATCACTTTTTCTGTTATTGTGATTTAATACTGTTACTTGGTGTTATGTTATCATATTTTTAACCTCCTGAGAGTCTAAATCTTCTATCTGGTTCTGCTTTGTTCCAGATCTGATAAGTTTAATAACTAGACTTTGTCCTGGTTCAGGTAGTTTTTCTTCATAGAGGCTTATCTTTAGATTTAAGATGTCTGTTAACAGACTTATTTACAACGTTTTAATCCCACAATAAGAACATGATTGGTGGAAAATGTCTGAAAGCATTTTCCTTTAGATTTCAATCAGTAGTGTCTGATAGCGTCTGCTATGAGGCCAAGAGGTCAAAGGTCAAAGAGAAAAGAAGGATCCTGGTACAGAGAGGCAGAAATTAAGCGTTCTCCCGCAGAACGGGCTTTCAGGAGGCTAAACATGGCTTAATAAATAACATTTAAAAGACTTAACCAAAATGCTTTATTTTCTTCACAGGGACCAGTTTCAGAGTAGCCACTTCTATACTGAGGGACCTGGACCGGGTTCTGGCCACGGACACTACGACAGGCTGCGAGGTCGACCTCCACATCTCCCCATCGACCAATACTCAGACTCCAGCTACCGCTCCGATCTGGAGCCTCCGCCTGGAAGCTACGGCAGGGACTTTTCCTCTGAGGACCTGGGAGGACCCGAGGGCCTCCAGGCTCCTCCATTGGCTGGCAGATATGGAGGAGGCTCCTCCCATAGGAGGCCAACCGCAGGTCAGGCCTACGCCTGCCAGAAGTCCCCAACACAGCTTCACCTCCCGGAGAAGAAGCCGACTCACACAGAGGCCGATTCAGCGTACGACCAAGATGCAAATTTGAAGCACGGCCTGAGGGACTGGAGGATTAACTCCTATCTAAGCGCTTATGAGGACGGCGGAGAGGAAGGCCTGCCTCAGCCAATGGGGGGCGACGCTTTTGAAGATCCGGGATCTTCTCAGCAACCGACCCGGGCTGAAGGTTCGGCTCCATACTTTGGCATAAAGGAGCCCCCGGCGGCTCCCCCCAAACCCAGGCCAGACATCCTGTCCCGGCGCTTTGGGAAGCCCAACATGCCCGATAAGATCAACAAGGACTCTTACAGCGACTTCAAGTCCTCTGCTCTGGAGAAGAAAGACCGCGAGGAGGACAGAGAGAGGAACCCTGGGAGAAGCGCGGCAAAGGAACCAGAGGAGGAAATGGAGGTGAAGGAGTCCGCAGACCTGTTTCTGACCCGGCACGAGTCCTTCCGCTCGCGGATCAACCCCCTGCTGCAGCGGAGCTCGCGGCTGCGATCCTCCCTCATCTTCTCCTCCTCCAAGGCCGAGGTCCACAGCGGCAGCCTGGGCCTGAAGGCGGCCACCGAGGAGGACGAGGAGCTGGACTCGGGACGCACCACCTCCATCGTGGCCAAGATCCTGGAGAAGAGGAGGTCCCTGTCCCGGGAACCGTTCGAGTGGAGAAAGAAAACGGAGGAGAGAGACAAGCAGAACGAGAAGGAGGAAAAGGAGAAAGAGCAACAGCAAAGGGAAAGGGAAAGGGAAAGGGAAAGAGAAAGGGAAAGGGAAAGAGAAAGAGAAAGGGAAAGGGAAAGGGAAAGGGAAAGGGAAAGAGAAGCACGGCTTAAAGAGGAGAGCAAAGCAAAGGAGGAGCTCAAAAAGGCAGACGCAGAGGTAAAACCAACGCAGGGCGGAGACAAATCAGACAAATCTGAGGCCGACACGTACAAGATGGACGCGGCCAGCCGGCTGCAGCACTTCAACGAGCAGGCGGCCAAAAGGAAATCGCTCCAAATGGAAACGGCGCCGTCTCTCAGAGACCTGGAGCCGGCCGGGAAAAAGCCGGACCTCTCTGACAAGCCTCCTCCGAACCCGGGGAAGACCGCGGCGGAGCCCGAGCAGAAGAAGCCGGACATCTCGTCCAAACTGGCCGACCTCACTCGCAGATACTCGCTGAGCTCCTCCAAACCGCCGATCATCACGGCCAAACCCTTCGTGAGCTCCCTGAAGACGTCCGAGGCCTCGCAACCTCGCAAGGAGGAGGCCGTGTCCGAGAGCCAGAAGAAGGACATTTTGAAATCTTTCAAGCCTCTGCCCTCACCGAAATTGTTCAAGAAGGATCCGCTGAAGCTCAAAGGGCTGAATCCCCGTCGCATCTCCTGTGGGGAAGAGGTCCTGGTCACGGATGCCACCGACGCGGAGAAGAGCGAACTGAAGAAGAGCCGCTCTATGAGCTCCTCCACTCTGTCCCACGAGGATGCCAAGGAAGGGTCGAAGTTCATGGGGTCCAACACGTCCATCAACACCATCGGCGAGAGCAAGGGCGACGGCAAGAAGCTCGACTTCCTCAAGAAGCAGACCCAGAGGCTGAAGGGACTCCTGGGGCCCAAAGACAAAGACAAGAAGAGCTCAGGGGACGACAGGGGAATGAGCACGGTCAGAGAAGTGGCTGACGATCCCAGCAGAAACCAGAGCTCCTCAGCGGGAGACCAAAGCTCGGCCAATCACAAACCCTCCACGGCCACCTCGGGCTCGTCCAGGTACCAGTCTCCTGGAGGCTCCGTTTTGTTTAGCAGCAACCTGCGAGACGACACGAAAGTCATTCTGGAACAAATTTCCGCCAACAGCCAGAAGAACCGGCAGGAGCGAGAGGAAACGTCCGGGGGCAAAGACGGCGCCTCTGCGGAGAAAGGACAGGAGACGCAGAGCGCCCTGAAGAAAAACCGCTTCCTACGACCTCAGGGCATCACCCAGGAGAGGGAGGGCCTGCTGAAGAGGATAGAGAGTCTGAGGAAAGAGAAGAAGGTCTACAGCCGCTTTGAGGTAGTTGACGTCAGCGATTTAGATGGAAAAAAGATCTGAGTAAAATTGAAGCTCATTTTGAGTATAAACCAGTTGGGTGTGACTCTAAAAGTTACATCCTACATCATCACAGGCTGGAAACTGCTCCTCAGTTAATAGGACGCGTTTAATGTTACCTGCTTCTTTCTTTAAGATCAAAGTCATCAAATATTTTCGTCGTCCATGTTTACAAACTGAGAATTTCTGCCTGCTTCTTTCTTTAAGATCAAAATCATTAAAGATTTTCGTCGTTCATGTTAACAAACTGAGAATTTCTGCCTGTTTTTAACGGTCATTCATTTGCTCTGAAAGGAGAAACAGATTCTTAGTATATAGGCCGAATAGTTTAGGTTTGTATGAGGAAAACAAAATGCATTGTGAGGAAAAAGCTAACGTTTACTGCTTTACACATAGTTACACACTCCTCTTGTTGTGAGTAAACCGAATAAAGGAGAGTTTGGCTAAGCTGAGCAGACCTCTGCTGAGGTATCACAGGGAGGAGAAAAAGCTTCTCGGTTTGACTGTAATTCCTGTTGCTTTGTTAACAGATGGGGAATAGCCTGGCATGAGGACAGATGGAGGAACGAGGACCTTTTGTGCGGAAACTATTTATGCAAGATGATCAAAAACAACCAATGTGCCATCAACAGTCAGTCCCTCTGGAGCCCGACACTGTGGCCATTCCCAAGAAGTAACAGAGACTTGAAAAAGACTATAAATGCTGAAATCCAGTGAGCTGGAAATGTGCCTCTTTGCCAAACCCTGGTACTACTTTTTTCCCTTATATGGTGACTGCCACAGCACACACAGTCTGCCAGTGCTAGTGCTTCACCTCACAGAAAAGGTAGGATGATTCAACAAAACCCAGCTTGTATAAACCTGAATGAGGGGACGTAGGGAGGGGGAAATAAAGAAAGCACATGCTGTACCTGAGGGAGAGGAAATACTACTTGCCAGTCAGAAATCGTGGCAGTGTTTGCTACAGGTGTTTGCAACCAGTGTTGTGTTTCTCTGAACGTGTGTGTGTGTGTGTGTGTGTCTGGGACTGTTTTAAAACTGAGTGGGAGAAAGTGTTGTTGTGGTTTTACTATTTGCCAATGGCCCATTGAGAGTATTACCAAAGCTGGAGGGTAAAAGGGGAGGATGGGAATCTATAAAAAGTATGTGTAAATATGTTAGAACTGCCAATGTTGCTGCAGAAGAAGACGATTTTTGACAATAATAACAAAAAAAAAGCTGAGGTTGTAGTGAACCTTGACCTTTAAGAGGGTGTAGAGTACTTTTCCATCAAGGTGTGGACCACTTCTCAGGGCTGAAGATGTCAAATCCTCCCATCAAGTTGGAGGTCTGGGAAAACTCTGTGTTCCCGTCTTTGTTTTCTGAAATGTAAATAAAAAAGGAAAGCAACTAAAGTAGCCGAGTCACCGTGAAAACGGTTTGAAGTCCGATTCTCTTCTTATTCTTGGAGGTATTAGCTCTCAAAAAGGAAAGAGGCTGGGCAGGGCTTACATAACTCGCTGGCTTCCTCAGGAGAAATCCTGGCTCTTTTGTTTGCTCTTAAACAAATTTAAAACCAAAAGCTGCTTGCTGGACAGCCAGACATCGAGTCGTTTATCGTTCCAGACTGGATGAAGTCTGAAGTCCTCCTAAAGAAAACTTTGAACCTCTCACTGTTTTCTACACACATTTTACTGTACATATTTATATAGAAATGGGGTTGTGCCTTTTTTGACTACTTTGTGAGTCTACCTTGTAAAAACTAATTGGCATTAATCAGGGTAAATGAGTTGCCTGGGGTTGTTTTGTTGTATGGAACTTCAAATAGTATTACATTGTCTTTGAAATACAACAAAAAGTATTGTATGAAATGCCTTTTTAATTGAGTAGATTGTGGCTCAAATATGAGCAGGTGTGTCATTCTGAAATGTCATTCTGTTTTAAATTAAAGGATTTGTAAACTTTCTGGGGAAAAAAAACAACAAACAATCTCAAAACTTTATGACTTTGTAATATATTAACATCAAATAACACACTGCTGACATTCCTCCCTCTGAAAATCACCATTTACTGCATGTAACGGATTTTTAGTTAGCAAAAATAAATCCAACAGGAAATATAACGACTTCAATAGCTCTGGAATAAAACGGAAATTGGGGGAACGAGCTGAGAAAGCTGCTGCAAACGGTCCAGGTGTGTCTTTAACAGCAGATTTGTCAAACTGACCGGATGGATTGGGGATGCAGGATTATTCCTCCTCCTCCACCTGCTTATTCTTCACTTTTTCAAGCTCCTCGTCGAGTGTTTGTAGCTGAGCCGACTTCTGTTGTTCTTTGAGAACCACCAAACAAAATCAGACCGGAGGGAAAGTGCACATATGTATGGACACATTATTTTTCTACCACATCTTACAGGGAAACAGAAGCTACTAACCAGCAGAGAGCAGCTGAGCCTTTGTGTTTTCAGCGTTCTTTAACTCGTCTGGGAGTCTCTCTGGAGCCTGAGCACTCATTTAATGGACAAAAACAAAAAAAAACAAGACAAAATGTAACCTTTTAGTCAGGATGGTTGTGGGAAATGAAGCCTTATCGTGTTCTGATTGGATTCTTACTGTAAAGGAACTTACAAAGACAGCGTGCAGTTTTTTGTGCTGCTCTATCAGAAGCTGAAGTTGGTTTTCAAACCTCATCCTGTTGAATTGACAGGTGACTTTGGTAAAGCAGAATGACATTAATCGTGGCGTCGATCATCGGGCTGCACGGAGGTACCGCTGCTTCCGGTGTTTCAGCCTGAGCTCCTGGATTTCACATCTGTAGCGCTCCAGCAGTTCCTCGCTCGCCTTGTTGTTCTTCAGCTGTCTGCAGAGCACAGCCCACACAAACCGGTTAGAAAACACCACTTCATACCGGAGACTTCCAGTTAGTACAGACAAGGCACGAGCTTTAAAACCTCCGCTTTGAAACCATACAGCACATCTCAGCTGAAGATAAAGAGATAAAGTAGACACAGGAAGGTGTGGCTGCAGCTACCAGCCATACCACATTATTCACATTGGTTAAATAATGACAACTTTATCAGATAAACGCCCAGATGAAAAATGTTCTAAAGACAAATACGTATTCCATCCTGTGAATGTGTCCATATGGATTAAAAAATGTAGTACAATTGGTTTAATTAATTAACTTGCTAACTTCAATTCAGCGCCGACAAGAGGTTGCTTTTGATGTGTGTGTATATATATATATATATATATATATACATGTATGTATGTATGTATGTATGTATGTATGTATGTATGTATGTATGTATGTATGTATGTATACACCACAAGTACGGAGGCAATACAACCCACAAATGGACTTGATCTGTCCCTTTTGCTGCTTAATGTGTTTTTTTTTAATTAAATATAGAATATTAAAAATAAATAATTTTGTTTCTGAATAAACAGATACTGCAAACTCTCCAGTGACAGCAGACACCTGCTGTACAGACTAATAAGAGGAGTCCAACAGGTCTGGACAGAAGTTAAACTACAGGTTGTGATGCTGCCATCTAGTGTTCACATACTGAATCACATGGGCACGTGTCTGAGTGGGAAACTCCTCTCATGTGTGAAAGCTACCTGTCAGAGTCCTGCTCAGACTCCTCACACTGGACCTGCAGCTTCCTGTACACATCTGACAAAAAAACACCATCAGCACATTTGTGCTCAGGTCAGATAAGGCCCTGACGTCAGCTCGGGGAGTAAAAGGAAAGTGAAATGCTGCGTGACTCATTCTGTCTGACAGCTGCTGCATGTACCTTCTTTTCCTTTATGGATTCCCTCCAGCTGATAAGTTTCAGTTTGCACTGAAAGAAAAACAAGAAAACACAGAGTAGACGAGTTTATGAAGCAAACATTTTAGATGAATTACAAATTCAATGCCTAACATGATGCCATTTAATAAGAGAATTGGAGTCCTTCCTGAGGCTTAGTTACAATGAGGATAAATTTAAATGATTAATAATCGTGTCTCACAAGTTTCCAGTTCTTTCTCCAGTGTGTCTCTGACAGATTTGAGCTCTCTGATGTCATCTTCCAACTCTCGTTTGCCTAATGATAACCAAACAGAGCAATAAATTGTTCACTTGTGTTGAATATAACATCTCATATCAAAATTCCCTTTTAATTGTAGTTTATTTTTTTCACAAGTGAAATCAGAATGGGCCATGAAGGGTGTTGCAGTTCCCAACATGGCAGAGAGTTTAATCATCTCTCATTGCTCTCCATTCATCATGTTCTGAAACTCCACGTATGGAGTAACAGGTAAGGATGTACCTCACTAACAATGCTGTGTTCCCGTCGCCGGGTAGTTTATCAACAACACGTACAGGCATCTGACTCATGGTTTTACATTTTGGGATTGAAATAACTAAAGAAACAACAAAAAGATGAATACATTATTTACCTGTGTTAAATCTATTATCTCTTTTCAAATACCCTTTAATTGTAGTTTATTTTTATCACATGTGAAATCAGAATGGGCCATGAAGGGTGTTGCAGTTCCCAACATGAC